CCTCATCTAAAGGCAGAATACTACATTATTTTATTGGGCCAGCCAGATTCGTTCCACCACCCCAGGAGCATGATCATAGAGCAGAATCAAAACTTGGGGTCCGATTCATAAGTTCAAAGTGGAGGCGAAAAGTGATTCACGTCGTGCCGCGACGTTAAGTCAAGCGCTTGTTGGGAGGCAACCCAGCTTTATTGCTTTCTTTTATTTATTTATTTTTATTTTTTTAATTGTATTATTTTTGTAGTGTCAATTTTTTATTTTCTAGGAGCATGGAAAGAAAAGGTATTGGAAGGATGCAACAACAAACCAAATGGTTGGAACTAAGTGTGAGGTACACGCACGAAGGACCAAGCTTGGGAGAAGTCTGAGTACCCCATAAGCTACTAGTGCTTCGGCCTTTGGCCTACCGGGGAATTTCTTTTACCCTCTTATTAGTATGGTGTGCATTGGGGACAATACACAATTTTAAGTGTGGGGTGAGGAGATTGTCTGGGTGACTTTCTATGCTATTTTAGTTGTGTTAGTTTAATTGAATAATTTTTTTATTTAAAAAAAGGATTGGACTTTTCCCGAGGATGGATTTATTAGACAATTTTCTTGAGGGATTTAAGTCTAAAGAAAAAATAAAATAAAAAGATTTTCTTTTGTTAGGTAGTGTAGCAATTCCCCCTTGGTTTTTCTTTGTGCCGCGGTTCTTTTCCAAGGATTTTATTTGAACAGGGTGTAGTTAGTTTTTTTAGGAATAGGAGTCATTGTGTTGTGTTTTGAATTGAAGCAATATCTCTTGACTTTGTTATGCCTTTGAGAATAGTGAGTACTTTGGGTGTGACGCTTAGGCTCAGTTTTTGACTCTTGTAGAAGTACCTTAAGTTGTATTATCTTAACTTTGCTTAACTGCTTTGACTAGAGTGTCTTGATGAATCCAATCCTGAGTGAGTTATGTGCCATGTGTGTGTAGGGTTTTGTGTTATTCTGTGCATTGCATTTGATGCCTAGAACTTACCCCGTGTGTTTGCAAAGCGAAATAGTAGTTTTGTTCAGTCTTGGAAGTGATATAGGCATTTCTTGTTGAGCCATATATACATATTTTACTCACCTAATTGTTATGTATCGTAGTTAACCCCTTTGAGCATGTAATCCTGTTTCCTTGACAACCACATTACAAGCCTTACCCATTTGTTGGAATTAACCATCTATTTGAACCATTGTAACCTCTCATGAGCACTTGAATTGTTTATGAACTTTGTAAAAGTTAAAGTGTGGGGTGGTTGATTTGGCTTTTGAGTGGAACTAATGAAATAAGGAGAAAGGTGCACTGTTTTGAAAAAGTAAAAGCCACTTGAATTGGAAAAAGAATAGCTGGATTGTTGTAAAAAAAAAATAATAATAATAATAATAATAATAATTCCTTGATAAGTGGTGGCTCTTGATGTAAGTGTGCTTAAAGAAGTATGGGGTAATATAAATTGATGTGAAGGTGGAGTTTGGTTTGACATAAGTATGGGGTTGAATGTTAAAATGTATGTATTAAAGTGCTTAGGGAGGTGTAGTCACTCTTATATCTAAATGTATCCTACCCGTCCCGTAGCCTACATTACAACCAAATAAAGTCCTAATTGATCCTGGATTGAATGAGCTCGATTAGTGGAGTAGTACACTACGGGCAAGCTTATGGTGCATCTTTTGTGGCATATGAATGTTATTTCTGAGAGTGAGTGAATTCTTTCTATCTTGAGTTCCTAATTGTTCTTCAATTTTATTGTGTGGAACTACTCTCTTTTGTTGTGTGAAGGCACTTGATTCATGAAGGAAAGGTAATGTCAGTGACCTCTATGTTAGAGTAAGTAGGTGAGTTGTGAATAATGCGTGGTACTTGTCAGTCAAATCTTGAGGTGAAGATGTTACGCTTTTGTGCTTAGTCTATTTTAAATACTCTTGGTGTGATGAGTTAGGAGAATTGTTTAAAAAGGTCGTGTCTATAAAAAAAAGTGTAGTTTGATTGCTCGAGGACGAGCAATGGTGTAAGTGTGGGGTGTTGATGATAGGCTATAATGACGTATTTTAGTCGATTATTACACTCTAATTTACTGCACTTTAGTTGAGTTTGCGCTTTAATCGCTAGTGTTTTGCACTAACAGTGTGTTTTATGCCTTGTAGGAGTGATTTATATAGATGTTATGGAATGAATTCAAGTGATTTGGAGCTTTGAAGTCTGAGTAAAAGCCCAAGGAATTAAGCCGGGATCGTATTCGGGGGTCAAATTTGATAATTAAGTACGAACGAAGACTCGAGGAGGCATATTGCGCACTGTCTAGTAAAATAGACATAACTTTTTGCTCAGAACTCCATTTGGGCTCCACAATATATGATTGGAAAGCTAACTCAAAGGCTACAACTTTCATCTTTTACGTTTTTCCAAATTCAAAACGGAACAGGGTAAAAAACTGCGGTTACGGTAGGACCGCGGCATAACACTGCTGCAGATTCTGAAGGCCACTCTGGCCGCGGTCCTGGCAGGACGCGTAAATTTCAGGGACCAAAGTGCAAAACACGGGATTTTAAGTCCTAAACCCTATATTAAACGAAGGAGGCCGGCCAAGAAAAAAAAGGAGGATAGGTTTGAGACATAGATTCGACCTAAGGAGGCAAGAACACATTGGGAGCAAGGCGGAGAATTCTTCTACGAGTTTTTCCTTCCTCTTCCTATTTTTCATTGTTGGTTATGACTTTTAGTATTGTAGTTTTACATACTATTATGAATAGCTAATTTGTTATCTAGAGTTTTGATAGAACCTTTTGTAGGATAAATTCTTGTTATGTTTTTATATAATTGAGCCATAGCTTTTCTCTATTTGTTCAACTACGTTTATATTCTGGTTGATTGAAGAGCTCTCAATTAGCTGTGCCTATTTAGTATGCATAACTCGGGAGAGAGTGCACATTTACGTAATTGTTGAACAACACCACTCCCAGAGTATATGAGGGATCAATAACCGAGGGTTTAAAGGTGGGAATAGGGATAACGAAGCCTTGGGTGAGATCTGAAGTGAGCTGTATTAAAAGCCAGCTAGCGTAGCTCGGGAGAGTGCATCTAGTAAATTGTCGTAATTACTCGGGAGAGATTTACGGTAATAACAATGCTCATGATCGGTAGAGAATACTTAGGCGAAATTATAGAAGACATAGCGGGAAGGATTCCGACAATTGGGGAAATCATAACTCTAGACCTCCTTAATCTTTTCTCTAACCCTCAGTATCGTTAGTTGTTAATTTACCATTTTGATTTGTTAGTTAAGTAGTTAAACACAAGAATCTTAATATCTATAAATTAGGAATTGTTCGAGCTTGTTTTCTTGGTGATAGTGAACAATTGTAGCTAAACCTTAGTTCTCTGTGGGATTCGACTCCGGACTTGTAAACCGGATTATATTTGCAGCGACCGCTTAGTCCTTTTTATAAGGCATAGTTGGGCGTGATCAATTCACATGTACTCGCGCCATGTATTCATGAACATAGTAACGACAATCACCTTAAAAATAGGTATGCCCGGTTGTCTAATACCGGAAATAATATCAATTAGCGCGATACACTCCTAATATAACTCAACAAAATCAATTCTAACATGCCTCATTATTTAATTAGAATGATTTTTCAGTTGTATATAACTTTGTATTTAGTGTTTTTCCAATATGTTCTTTTACTGTTGCATTCATTAGATTCAATGTTTGTATTTACTGTATTCACTATTTTATATTCAGTGTATTCAAATATATTTGTATTAACAGTATTTTAATTATTCCTAATACATGTTATTACTGTTGTATTCAGCATATTTCATTGGTTATATTCATTGTATTTTTATTTTGTATTCAGTGTATTTTACTATATTTCACTGTATTTTAAAATTAGATATATTCATTGTTTATATTATGTTTTATTTTAATGTTTGTATTCAGCTTCGATCAGATTTACCTTTCTCATAAGCTGTCTCAAATACAGTACTTTGTATTCGATGATGCCGCATGTCCATCATGTAGGAAGGTTCACATGTTGAACATGTGACGCTAAAAACTGTCATTTGAGACTAAACTTTTATCGTTAGTCAGTAAGGGCAAAATCTAGCTCTTTTTTGTAACGACAAAGATAGATCCAACGAAATTGTTAACGGATAATAAGTCAGTATCATTTTTGCATAATTGGAGGACAAATTCGGATATTCTCCCTAGTTTTTAATCTTAAAATTGAAAGTAAAAATCCGAACTAATATGTGATGTTAAGTACTCCACGTCTTCGAGCCATATTAAATGGGCTAAACTTTATTAGTGTATGGAGCCTAAGGTCCTAAAAGGAGGCCTAGAAGAGGGCTTAGTTTCTTCGTTCATTAATTGGTTGCGTCGATAAATTAGAATTGATATATTATTGAAATTTGTACGCTGTAAATTGGAAAGAATACGAAAGACTAATTAATAGTACTAACGTTTTTGTTAAGTCTAGCTACCGCTAGCCGTCGAAACTCAAAAAATTAGACAAAAGAATATTGCAACTACAATATAATGCAGTATAAAATAATGGCTAGGCTTTATATGAAAAAATAAGATAGTGCGACAAATTTTCAGTTCCTCTATCATGGAACAAGTTTTTACAAACAAATTATGGAAAAAATACATATTTTCCAAATTATTTCATTTTAACTACTTGAGCATCAAACTGGTGTTCTTTATTACAATGATTTGTGTGTATTTCTAAATATTTTAAGTATACGTGACTCACATAGGTGGACCTAGCTATATTATCAGGTGAGGGATCACAGGTATCCAAAAAGTTCGGCAAAATTTTCATGAATACATATTATATGATTTTAAAAAATACTATTAATAGTAGTACCTTGTATAGAAATAAAGCAGATTTTGGTTGAAAGTAAAAGTACACCTTCGACCTGCAAATCATAGATCCACCTCTGGTGGCTCGTATTAAATTTGTTGTATGTAGTTTTTTATTTCATAGAGCTATAACCCTCATATTCCAACCCCAAACCTAATTCATTTTTAATTTCATAGTCGACTCTTGTTCTGTCTCTATCTCCTTATATTAGTTCTCAATTATGCTCTCCCAACAAAGAGAAGTGGAACAAAAAGTTTTACTCCAATATTAATGGCTTCGAACCAGAATAGCTTCAACAAAAGCATAACACATGCCAATACCACAACCATATTCACTCAGGTCCGCCGCAAAATATCATTTCGGAAGAAAAAATTGACGACGGTGCGGCTGGGAGGAGGAAAGAAGCACCGGCGAAGTATTTCTCTAGTGAAGATTTTCCGGCGAGTCCGACTGAAATGGCTGAAGTTGCACTACTTACGTATGCTGAAGAAGATTAAGGAATATTATGGGTCTTTGGTGAAAGACATAAAGGAAGGTAACGAAGCAATTGATGCCTTTCAGCGACGGCTCTTATTTGAAACTTCGTTTGCTATTCCGGTGATGGGTCTTTCCTTCAATACTTTTCCCAACCACCATATATAGAACGTGTAATTATCAGCCATTAATGTTTGCATCTTTTTTTCAAATTCTATGTGAAAGGCGAAATACTTCGTACACACATATGAAATAATCTTATCGTTATGTACATGTTTTAGTTCATTTGAAATATTGTTATCGTTGAAATTAAGATGTGCAAGGTAGCAAATAATACAAATTCCTTTTTACTTTGCTTAACAAGTTATACATAATTATTACTATTTCCTCCGGTTCATAATACGTGACTTTTTGACCTTTGGCACATCACTTAAAAAAATAATAACTCCTAGAGGAAAAAGGTATTTTGATGAAATTACTCTTAATTAAAATTTTCATATCGTTAGCTTGACACCTTGAAATATTAATGATAGATAAAAACAGATAAAGTTAATGCCTTCTTGATTATATAAAATGATACTTACTTTCGATCAAAATAAAGAATTAAAAAAGTCACTTAGCTTATTATGGAACCGAGCAATTAAGTATATATTTGTTGGAGTATTTTTCTGGATCGCCTGATGTTTACTTTAATTGTTTGCAGTGTTCATGAGGTCATGCATATATTTTTTGTGTATATGTCGTAGTTTTTATGCAAGAACATTTGTAAAGAATTTTGCTCCATGAATTACTTAAAAGTGGACTTGAGACGAAATTGTATATAATATAAGCACGATCAAGTTGTGTAATTTAGAAAAGACTGGGTAAATTATATTAGTTGTCCAAATATAGGAGAGACACAAAAAGTTGTATATGAAGGTGAATTTTTACATAAGTTGGTCAATTTGACAGTTCAGAAATTAAGTTATAATTAAGAAGGAATCCTGTGTCAGCTGCAAGTATTTTATAAAGCCATTATATATATTTGCTGTTATCAGCGCTTTCGTCACTTCCGATTGTGTTAAAATTGATGATCTCGTTTCTAGTACAAAAAATTAGTCTTATTTGGATAAGATTTTAATATCTCAATATTCTATTATCTTACACATCTAACCACTAAAATAAGCACCAAATGGCATATGCATCAATCACAAAATGTGATAAGAATCAAACAGCTGAAGGACAAGTAGTAGACACCACAAGAATTACTAATAATTTAGTCTTCTAACTGTTTCTTGTGGCTTGAGCTTGACACTTAAATCAGAAAATGTGAGAGAAGAGCTCGATGTGATATATTATTCCAAAGCTAGTTGGCTTTTGAATAGTTAAACTGTACTCCCTCCGGTTTACAATAACTGATCAATTTGCTTTTTCATTTTGGTTCAAAATAAGTGTCTAGTTATGTAATTAAGAAAGAATTCAATTTGTTTTTACAAAATAACCCTTATGTACATATCCCTAAAAAATTTTCTTACTCCTCACATTAAATGTCTAATTAGGGGTAGTTTAGTCATAGTAGGTATTTTTGTATAGAATATAGTATTTTCTTAATGGGTGTGCTAAAAGCAAATTGATCACTTATTGTGAACCGGAGGGAGTATATATCTTGAGAAAAAAGAAAAAAGAAAAAAAAGGATAAGATTTCCGGAAAGTGGAGTTGCTCATGGGGATATAGTGGGTGTTTTGACATAAGAATTGTAAAATTCCGGAAAAAAAAGATTTTTTCGTCAAATGAAAATGATATTTGAAAGATAGAGTTGTGTTTGCACATGAATATAATTTTGGGATGTTTTTAAATTTTTGTGAGTGATTTGAAGTGAAAATTTTTAAAAACAGCCTTTTGGAGTTTTTTCAAATTTTCAAAAAAATCCGAAATTCATCTTCAAGTGAAAATTGAAAATTTTATGGCCGAACATTGATTTCGAAAAAAGTAAAATTTTGTGTGGCCAAACGGCCACATAATCTACGTGATGTACCTATTTGAAATACTAGCTAATACCATATACAATTAAATATTTATTTTATTATGTATACCTACTTTAAAAATTCATTTATCATGTATACCCGCTTTATAAATTTTATTTGACCATGTATACCTACCATATTCTTAAATAAACTAATGTGATTCTAAATTAGCATAAGGTATGTTTAATTTAGATAATGTATTCCAAATTAGAATACCGTAGCATGATTAGTTTGAATATTGTATTATTTATGGTATGTTTGGTTTAGGTATTGTATTTCAAATTAGAATATTGAAGTGTGTTTTGGTTTTAATATTGTATTCGAAATTAGAATACTGTAGTATATTTGGTTTGAATAATGTATTGCCAAATTAAAATATTATGGTATGTTTAGATTATATGGGACAATTTGGAGGTATAGAGTGTAATATATATTTTCGACATATTTAATGTAATTTCAAAATTTAGATATATCATAAAAGAGAGCCTTACAAATGAGCATATTATGAGACTTCCCCTTACTTATAAATCACGCTTGTTATAACTTGAAAAAGTTGACCTGAGGCCAAGAAATTTTATTGAAAAAATATAAATATAGGGATATCAGTGACTAAGGGGGATTTACATCTATACTCGCTTTTTGGGTCACGTTTTAACTTGTGCCCGCTTTGCAAAAAAAATTGCAAGCGTACCCACTTTTTTGCGTAACTTCAGCATACGGGGCTGAAGTAGCAAAGGCAATCACGCAAAACTTCAGCATTCTAGTAGACGGGCCTGAAGTAGCAAGTGTGCTGAAGTTTTTGTTTGAAATTGCTGAACTTAAGCATAGTAGCTGAAGTTTTGTTCTCTATTTGCTGAAGTTTTTGTTTGTAATTGCTAAACTTAAGCATAGTAGCTGAATTTTTGTTCTCTATTTGCTGAAGTTTTTGTGTAATTGCTGAACTTAAGCATAGTAGCTGAAGTTTTGTTCTCTATTGGCTGAAGTTTTTGTTTATAATTGCACTAAATAAGCTGAAGTTTTTTTGTCCTGGATTCATTAGTTTTGTCATTAAGCTTTTTCAAAAATTTCAGCAGAAAATGCTGAAGTTATTTAGTTTATTTATAAAAACTTCAGCACTAAATAAGCTGAAGTTTTTTTGTCCTGGATAAGCTTTTTCAAAAACTTCAGCAAGAAGATGCTGAAGTTATTTAGTTCATTTGTAAAAACTTCAGCACTAAATAAGCTGAAGTTTTTTTTGTCCTGGATTCATTAGTTTTATCATAAAGCTTGTTCAAAAAATTTCAGCAGAAGATGCTGAAGTTATTTAGTTCATTTGTAAAAACTTCAGCACTAAATAAGCTGAAGTTTTTTTTGTCCTGGATAAGCTTTTTCATTAGTTTTGTTATAATCAGACTACTATAAAATAATCAGATTGCCAACAGTATCTAAATCATAAAATTTTTGAAACAAATAAACGTGAAAAGAACAGAATTATCATGAAAAGTCACTAAGTGTGACCTTAAACTTTCCGTATGTGGAAATATTCACAAATTATAGTCTACTAACTTACGTAATTATTTATAATTTGTTTTTGAATAATCTGATAAACATACTTATGGCAATCATCCCATGAACTGAAGTTTCATAGCAGCACCAACAGCAGCAGAAGAAAGAAGAAGAAGAAGAAGAAGAAGAAGAAGAAGAAGAAGAAGAAGGAGGAGGAGGAGGAGGAGGAGGAGGAGAATGAGGAGGAGAAAGGGGGCCGAAGTTGTTTAAAAAGTGGGTACAAGTTAAAACTATTTTTTAAAAATGGGAATAGGTTAAATGGGGGCGACCAAATAGGGCGCCCCGTGCAATTTTTATATGACTGAGGGGCTTCATCTATTCCATCTGCAAGTTCTAGGCTTCTAGCCTTTGGGCTTGGGCTGGATCCTTGGAGCTAACAGCTCAAAATTGAAGGAGATCTTATACAATCGTCAGACTCACTGTTTACTTTTCCTAGTAGGTATATATTGATTATAGGAATTTTTACCTCCTATAACAAAGGTTAATACATTATTTATTTTTAAAAAATATCCTTTAAAAAAATTATATTCTATAGCTACCTTTTGATTTTTATAGCCAAATATCTATTTATGGTCACCTCCTACCCTTAAGCCATAAAATACGTTTTGTATTATTTTTCTCTCTCATTCTTTCAGATTTTTCTCCACCCTCTCTCTCTCTCAACGCCAGTCTTTCTCCATGAATACAACCATGATTCTCCACTGATTCATCTCCATTGTTGAACGAAATTTTCATTGTCAGTGGCCTGGAGCTCTGAATCAATGTCGAAATCAAGCCTAGAGAGAAAGATGGAGGTTCGAAATCTACTATTGAAAGGTAAATTGGGGCTGACAATGAAAATTTAGCAGATTCTGCAATGGGCTTTGGTAAAGGGACCACCGGCGGCAAAGCCGGCCAATTCTACGTCGTCACCGACTCTTCCGACGACAGCAGCAACCCTAACCGGGGACCTTACGTCACACTCTCATTCAAAAGGAGCCATTGTGGATCATTTTAGCAAAAAGCATGACCATTAGATTACATCAGGAGCTGATAATGCAAAGCGAGACCATTGATGGTCGTGGTGTTAACCTTCATATTGCATATGGCGCAGGTATTTTTGAAAGGAATATTTAGGGTAAATTAGGGCTGACAATGGAGGTTCAAAATCTGCTATCGACGAGACGACATTAGGGTTATTCTTGAACAAAGACGGTGGAGTTTGGGGCTGAGCAACTTGAAGAATCTGTTACCTTTAGTTTTTCATTGTATTTCAATGTATCTCGTTGTATTCATGTATTTCATTGTATTTATTGTCTTTTTTTTCTCATTGTATTTCAATGTATCTCGCTGTATTCCATGTATTTCATTGCATTCACTATCTCGCTATATTCCATGAATGTATTCATATATTTTTTTTAATTAATATAATTTATGTATTCAGATGTATTTATGTATTCAGATTTATAATTGAGTTTGTTGAGTTATATTAGGAGTCTATTTGTGTTAATTGATTCACTTTCCGTTTAAAAACAGCTTAATAGACCACGATTTACGCGATTTACGTTACTGTATTCACAAATACATATCGTGAATATAGACGAAAATAATAATTGCCTAGCTGTACTCCCCTGTTTCACGCCGAGCTTTGCTATTGTATTCGTGAATACAGTAGCTTAAATACATCGAATACACTCTAGCAAAACTGAAAACATAGCTATAGGAAGTAATATAGTAAATGGTAGCTACAACTAGCTAATAACCACTAAGCAATAGTGATTTGTGAAAATTTCTCTTGATTATATAATAACTATAAATAATTATACATATAC